ACGATTATTTAACAAGACTGCATCATACATTTATTGAACTTTTCAAAAAGACTCCTTGATACCAAAGTTCCAAACAGCTGAATGGGTTTTACCTTTCATGTTGACCAAAGCCTCTTTCCTTCATCTTGGCTCAAGCTGAACTAAACACAACCACAACTTGGAGTGAGTCTGGGCTTTTAGGGAGGGTGAAGCGAAAAGTGCTGCTCTGTAATGGAAAGGTGTGCGCTGGGTTAATAACACAAAGCAAAACAAGAACATGTTTGTGAAAAGGAATGCGACACAATAATGGTTTTATCTCAGTTATATATATATTTTTTCCATAATTGTTTAAAGCCAAAATCGTAATTGAAAATAAAATGTAATTAATTGCCCTGCACTGGGATCCAGAGAGTTATGTAAATATGAACAAAACTTTTTTTAATATGGCTTTAAAAATTAGGGTGCTCTACAAAAGATAGGTGTAAAACAATAGAACAAAAAATTAAATTATATATAATAGAACAATGAGAAATACATTTCTAATTGTGTTGTGTAGCTGCTTACAATAATAACTTATTTTTTCAAACCATGGGTGAATCATACGCTCCAGAATTACATCAATATGCCTTATCAAAATTTAGCAGACCTTAACCACTGTTGTGAGCAGAGCCCCCTTCCTTTGTAGAGCCCCTATGGATCACATTTGCCTTATTGACTTTCATAATAATGAAAATCCCCACAGTTCTTTTTTTAAATGCAACAAAATTAGCATTTCCTATTTTACTATCGAATTGTTTCACTTTCCTTTCTTCGCTGCTTCCTTGTGTGTAATTATGAGGCCCACTGATCTCAGGGGAACAGAATATGTTCAGCACCATGCCAAAACAACAGCATTTTCTCAGAGCGTGCAGTGTAAGTGTGTTGTGTGTAGAGGTGGGCGATATATATATCGTTTGCGATAATATCGTCATTGTTGTTTTGACGATGTGCAAATTTCCATTATCGAGTATTTAAATGACTTTGCCAAAAATATTGAAACGCACGCGGAAACTCCTCACATCCACTTACTACACGGTGCAGCAACGCTCTCTACAGCATGGCAGGATTCGATCACACGACTAGCGGGCCGACGTGCTCACATGACCTCTCGCTAGCATCCTCCTTGCAACAGTTTAGCAGCGCGTTGTGATGGTAGAGAGAAAATGCAAGCACCTCCAGTCCCTGAAGCTACCGGTACTTCAGATGATTTAGTGCCGAGACGTGGGTCTACCTCTCTGGCATGGAAATGGTTTAGTTTCGAAAAAGACTTTTTTAGCACAGCGCTCAGAACGCTTCAAGTTGAAATCTGTTCAACTTTTAACACCGCTGGGTGCTCGGAAAATGGGTTTTTGAGCGCTCTCAGCGCTGAAAACGCGTTTGGTGGACACAAGCCCTAACTCAGACTATTCCAATCACATTTTAAAGGATATCGACTGATTGTCATTATCGCCAAAATCCCCAAAAATAACGAGATATTATTTTTTGCCCATATCGCCCACCCTTAGTTGTGTGGCGACTGAGGATGTTTTCACATAATATTAGATGTTCTCCACTTAGATGGTCTTCTCATCTCATAATTTTGACTGCAGTTCTCATTATAGACACAATGCACAGGTCAGTTTGCCAGTGTATAAAATGGATATACTGCCCAGTTAGTCAACACTTGCTGTTATTCACATGCTCTAGTTCTTGGTATTAATTCCTGATAAAAGTTTGCTCCACCCCACATTATTGTGGTTGCCTGCCTTCTTTGGAGGGGCCTGTGTGTCTGCAGGGATTCAGAGCGGTAGTGATAAACAAACTGATTATTTATGTCTGAATTGATTATAGAGTCGAATCTGGTAGGGAAACCACCTTTATTCCAAAAGAAAGGGATACATGCGCAATTTTAGCACAGTTAAACAAATCCAAAGGTAGTTTTCTAGCCTGCTTTTGAAGTTCAATTTAAAGCAGATGTGGCTTAGTATCTGGTCTATTCTCCCTCCCTGTCTCTAATCTTAAAGTAGCCCCAGTTAATAACTTATTTTATGGGTGCCCGGTAGCTCAGTGGGTAGAGCTGGCGACCCTTGTACCTAGGCTGAGTCCTTGCTTCAGCGGCCCAGGGTTTCGAATCCGACCTGTGGCCCTTTTGCTGCGTGTCATCCCCGCTCTCTCTGCCCCCCCTTCCTGTCTGTCTTCAGCTGTCCTTTCAAATAAAGACAATAAAGCCAAAAAAAAAATAACTTTATTTTATTTTGCTGTTGTGCCACAGTGGACATTTGGATGCATTGTTAAACATAATAAACATCTAGTCAGGTAACCATACAACAGCATTCTGTAATATTTAATTAAAATTAAAATGTCTGGGGGACAGATTGTGTCTCTTTCAAAAATAATCAGAGAGGCTTATCAAACATTAAATTACACACTGAAAAAAAAAATGTATCTGACGGATAACAGGAAGTCTCTGCACATCAGATGGGGATTGAACTCAAACAACAAACGCGTTTTCACTCACCTCAGCTTGTAATGACTGAGCAATGTGGTCTAAAATAAGTTGGTTGTGTTTTGGGCAAAAATGGCAACTTGCAATGTGTAAAAGATTCCAGTCGGGACCAACAAAAGGAGGAAGCAGCAGATTAACACAGGCTTGGAGTCTTTTTTTTTACAGTGTCATTTGTGTATTTTAAGGCTGATTTACTTTCCTGCTGTTCATGTTTAACTTGTTTAGTTGAAAAGTAAAACATACAAGTTGTTCAAGTTAATCGGTGTGATGTCCGTATGAAGACAGTTCTTAACAGTTTAGCAGCAAAAACACTATTTTTGTCTGCAAATTCAATTAAAAAAAATTTTTGCCCACGTTTCATTACAAAGAAGTTTGTTCTCACGTTTGTATTCCTCTCTCCCTCCTCTTTAGGGCGTACTCCCTAGTTGACTCCAGCCAGGTGTCCACCTTCCTCATCTCCATCCTTCTCATCGTCTATGGCAGCTTCAGGTGAGTGTCACTAAATAATCACTTCAGCTGTCAGGAGGATAGTGGATAGTGGACAGTGGCTCTCAGAGCATGTCTTGTTTGCCACATTAGCAACGACCTTTAGCCAAAATTATCATTTCTTTGTAAGATACTAAAGGCACTTTTATGTTTTCATAAGTTTGCCCTACGGGGTCAAGTCAAATGTTCTCAGAAGAAATTAAGAACCTAAAATGGTTTGTTATGGTAAATATGTTAAGATTGTAAATTGCATCCATTTCTCAGGGTCCAGTCTTATAAAAATGTACATCGTCTGGTGAATGTGAATGAAAAACACTTGTTGAAGCAGTTTTGGGGTCTCTCAAAGTCCAAGTGTACCCGGTGAACAGAGGGCATAATGTGATTTTGGTGCATCGAAAAAATCTACAGTCCTTTCAGTTAATGGTGTTTTCATTCATTTAGTTGCAATAGGATATTGACCAAAACAAATTTGCTTTAGAGGAGTCTTACGATCAAGTAAATGGCTTCTTAGAGTTTGATTGTCAGGCTGAATTTGAGAGGCAGGTGTGTTTTGCTCATCCATGCATTATTGGATTAAAAATGCACAATCAATGAGGCGTCCATCTCTCTGATAAACTGTATCTGCATAACTATGTTTGCTATTGATGCACACTGTCTTATCCGCCATCCACATATAAAGAGGTAGAGAGGACACTGCCAATATGATGCTCCATCCTCACTGCATGATACAGGCTAATTAGGATGGAATGAGAAAAACTCATCAGACAAAAAGTGGTCAGGGAACATTATGGTTGTTGGGTGGATTGTTGTGATCATTTGTAAGTCACGACTGATCAGATCAAGTTGCACTTAGCTCATTCTAGTCGGGGGGTTGTTGCTGTCAGGAGATGAAGTCATTTACAGTCAGTTCTTTTCCATCCATCTGTTTTAAAGCGCATTTTTAATTTGTGCATAAAAAGTGGGAACACTGACTTAAAAAAACAAATCCTTGACATTTCGCAAAAATGTTTTGCACATAGTTGAGGTTGAAAAGTTGGTGTATCAGTAAAAACAAAACCTGACACAGTGCAATGGAAACAGACTTTAACTTGTGCTACTCAAGCTTCTTGTCATCGTCAGCTGTATATCTCGATGTACCGAACATTCACATTGGTGTAGTGGATGAAAACCTGCATAAATTAGCACTTTCTTCTGTTAATTTTCTGGAAAAAAGATTTGCACCGGATTTCACTCTAAAGGCTCTTATACACTCGTTGCTGTAACTATTTATACTTGCGCGTGGTGGTCGCGACACTAGTTGCAGTCTTCTCCTGAACAGAGGTGTCGCAACTGAGGAAAGGCTACCGACTTTGCTATTTCTACGCACTAGAAGAAGAAGAAAAAGGTATACAATGGCATACCTCTTTTTTCCAAATCGGTCACGGAGGTTCTGCATATGGCCTCCTCTTTCCCAACATTCATGGCGATTTCTCGCCATGAATTCTGGCACCTCTGGGCCATCTCTGTGTTCCTTCATTGAAGGATCGTACAGATGCCTGTACAGGCGCACTTGCTCGGAAAGCTTGCCCTCGAACTTGTCCATCTACCTGTTTCCACTCAGCTGAAGAAAAAAAAAAGAGTGGTGCGCGACCGGGCCTAAATTCTGGCGTGCTAGCAAGATCTACGTCATTTTGACGTCACATTGTCGTGCGACAGGTCGGGAACAGCGAGTGTATACAGAGAGCCTTAAATTAGACATTTCCATTAATAGGTCTTTTTCACAGCGGGGGGGGGAGCACAAATAATCTGTACTCGTATAGCACCTTTCTAGTCTTCCGACCACTCAAAAAAAACCCACTATTATAAATCATATTCTCACAATGACATGAAACAGGATGAGCTTGGAGTTAGTGGAAGAGCCGCCTACCATCTGAGCCACAGCTGCTCCTGTGTGTTCTTGTTTTTACTATGACATGTCAAACTGTCTTCAGTAAAAAAAAAAAAAAAAAAAAAAAAAAGCCAACCCTTGTAAGATAGGAATACGTATGGGAACAAAAGGAGAAATAAGCATATTTGTAAGATTGTGTTCAGGACTGTCGATGTCAGATGTGAGTAAGGAAAAAAAGCAGCAAGGAAATGGGAGTATTTTGTGGGTAACACTATATCAAGTTTCTTTTTAGAGCCACAGGATCTCCCACTCTCTGCCAAGTTTAGCCATGAATTTAACATTTCACCCAAACTTTTCACACTTAGTCAACAATGTAAAATTAGAAAAAAGATGGTGGGTTTTATTTCAAACTTATCCAAAGAAAAAGTGTAGTCATTATATGGAGATATTTATATGCAAAAGAGCCATCACTTTTCAGGAGTCAAAGTCTTTTAATTCATTCACAATAGAATAAGTCTCCTCCACAGCCCCTTGCTTTATATCAACAGTGTCCACGCTTTGGGATTCGGATTATTCGTCACACTCTTTCTTTCCCTCCTGCAGGTCATTAAACATGGATTGTGAGAACCAGGAGAAGGATAAAGACGGTAACCCCACGACAACGGGGGCTTTCAATAACGGCAACACGAACAACAGTGAGTGTTACATGAGTGAGTGAAATATAAAGACACAAATCTTTTCTTGGACTTTTCAAAATTCACTTATCATTTTGTGTTTTCAAATCTTCTAATTTTGAAGTCGGTATTGTTTTGCAGGTATTCAGACTATAGACTCCACACAGGCCCTGTTCCTGCCCATAGGAGCCTCTGTGTCTCTGCTAGTCATGTTCTTCTTCTTTGACTCGGTACAGGTGGTCTTCACTATCTGCACTGCAGGTAAGTGCCACTTTTGAATAACACAAAACTCTACAATTACTGTAATAAGGCTTTTTCGCATTTCTGTTCAGTAGTTACACACTGGGGAAGGCCTCTTACCTGTGCTCATTATTGAAACTGTGAAGACCATTAACTGCCCCATTAGGCTGACGGAAAACGACTGGAACAAGCAGTCTAGGTGTATTAGGCCATTGGTCTCACTGCTGTGCTTTGTTCTTCTCCTCAGTTCTTGCAACAATTGCATTTGCATTCCTCTTGTTGCCAATGTGCCAGTATCTGACCAGACCCTGCTCCCCACAGAACAAGTAAGGAAACAGTGTGGATTCTTTAATTGTGTCTCTTGTTGCTCAAACTACTCCATGCTGTTTTTTTTATATCTCTTACATATATTTTTTTTAAAGCTCTGTGATTCAGCGTGTTAGTAAATCCGCTTCTTCCCAACTCAGACTGAAACTGTGTGCAACCTTTAATACCACTGGGAGTAAGTGGGAAATATATTTTGTTATTTGGGTGAATATGGTGTATATTTTCACAAAATCATCAGCTGGACTGACTGGAGTCTCGACATCTCAAGCAATAGTAAAGCACAAGGGATCACCCACAACCCACCTACTCAATAACCAATTTGAACACCTCCTCTCTAGTTACAGATTCAGGGCCTCCTATCTGGTTTCAGTGAACCTTTGTCTGCTTTACAGAGCCAGGAATAACCCAGCCTCCAACCCAAAACACATTTCTGCTCAGTGTTTAAGTTGTTAAGTTTTGTATCTTAGCATGTACACAGTGCATGTGGCACAGGCTATATTTAGCATATTTATGATCTATGCATCTGAGACCTCTTATTAGATGTGTCTGAAGACATTTTTTGTCTATCGACCTTGTGAGCACAGACATCTCGATGGCGATTATTTGGCATTTTGAGATAATCTGCATCGGCTGACCAATTAATCGGTCTATCACTAGTCAGCAGCACTCTAGTCCAGAAGGAGGTAGTGATGCCCCTAAAGCTGTTTGGTAAACAAACAACAACTCCACAAGAAGAATGTCTGCATTTGAGTTGTTTAGTTACAGCAGTAACAGTTATCCATAAACTACTCCCTCACCCATACAGAGTGAAGTGTTCTTTGCACTTGGTTAAGCATGTATCACTGTATGCATCACATCATATTTGTCTCATTGCAGGATTTCCTTCGGCTGCTGTGGGCGTTTCACTCTGGCTGAGCTCCTGTCCTTCTCCCTCTCCGTCATGTTGGTGCTCATCTGGGTGCTGACTGGACACTGGCTTCTCATGGATGGTGCGTCTCTCTGTTGTGACTCTACTGTCAGTGTGTTTACGGCACCAGAATTCACTACTCCACCATGCAGTTTTTTTTGTTTGTTTTTTTTGGTTTTTTTCAAGGTTCATTGGAAATAGTTCTGCAGCAGGTTGTGGACCACGAGGATCTCTTTAATTATTGAAGTAGCCAGTTGTTCAAGTGTGTGAGGAGAAGTTCTGTTGGCATAGTTGCTGACTTTGATGCTACGCAGTAGAAAAAATACCCATAGTCATCCCAATCTCCGTCAATCTGTGGACAAAATTCAGTTTTCATCATCTGCTGGAGAAGAAGGAACTTGACATGACTCCTACAATGTGACGTTTCAGCAACACTATTTTAGTTGCACTGTATTGCGTTGCATGCTAACACAGGAAGAATACACTCATATTGGCTATTTAAAACATACAAGCCAACTGGTCTTGATCAAAGTTATTATATTAGTGAAACACAGACAAAGCAGAGAATGGTGTGTGGGTGTGTGCACTTCTTTTATTTGACCCAGTTGACTTTGAAATTTGAAACACATTATTGGCAGTCTTCTTCAAAAATGTGAAGAACGCACCCCTGTGACAAATGGCAACACTTCATCATCAAAAGTAAACACACCAAGAGCACAGATGAAACTTTTTGGATAATAATCGTAGGTAAAATTCAATCTTAAAAAAGGATTTTAACACAAGCTCAATATTCCTACCGCCTGTGTCCCTGCATTGAAACTATTGGAACTGCATTGTATTATTATTTGTTATGCCCCCATGTTTGATCTCAACACCATCTTGCGTCTTGTCAGGTCAGACCTCATGAAGCCAAAAGTGAATTAGGACATGAGCAGATGAATTTCATCAGAAAAAGTCAGACTAATTAATTAGGCCTGTGTGCACAGTATTTAATGTTTCTTAAATAAACTTTCTAAAATCAGTTCCCATGTTGCTATTTCAGTTCATTTCCGCTAAAATGTGAAACTGTGTTTCTTAATTATCGTGTTTTCCCTCCTCGCAGCTTTAGCCATGGGCTTGTGTGTCGCCATGATAGCCTTTGTGCGGCTTCCCAGTCTGAAGGTGTCTTGCCTGCTGCTGTCAGGACTTCTCATTTATGACGTGTTCTGGGTAAGATCAGTCTCATCTAAAACTTCACCCCCACCACAGCTGACATATACAAGCCACTGCCATAAGGTAGAGCAAAAATACTGTATATAAGGACACACTCATTTAAAGAAAATGTCCACAAATATTATCCCTCTATCAGACTTCATACTGAATAGTAATGATTTGGTTTATGAAGGTCCATACATTTGTTTTCTAAACATACATGATACTTCTTACCAGATTATTACCTTAGGAAGTAATACATTTAACATTTTCCAGCAGCAGTGAGTTTTGAAGAAACTGTTTAGTTAGCACTGATGCTGAGAGCTACCTACAAAATTCAACCTTCATAAACAGAAATGAATCACATAAATTACTAGAAATGTGTCGCTCTGAGCCCAAACTAGGATAAACATCACTATTTCCTCTGAGAAATAAAAAAAAACATTTATGTCTACCTGTCTTTTTCTGGACCTGCTCGATTTGGGTGAAGTTTATCAGCCATATCTGGTGATTTATACCTACTTTGGATCAGTGCCTTTACTGAGCACAAAACACAAAAGCAACGGCCACTTAACAGCTTAAATGTCACCAGAGTTGAGGGGAAACAGTATTACATGAATAATGATTTTAATGAGGCTTTGTACCAGTGAGTAAGTGAGTGACAGAGGCAAGTTTGAGTTGTTTGATGAACTGTAGTGTGTATTTTCCATAATTTAATTAAACCACAGATCATAATAATCAGATTATATCTCAATCTGAGGATAGTAGAGCTCAGGGGATCTATGAGCACCTGCCCGCTTTTAGATGTATTATCTGTTTATTCAGATAATAAGAAATTTGTTCAATAGTTGCAACCATTAAAGATAAGTAACATTGTCATGAAAAACCGAGGTTCTGCACACACATTCAAAGCAAAATTCAAACAGAACCAAACAGAACCAATCATATCTGACACTGCACAACAAATTGCTTCTGGTGATGTTTTACGGGTGAGCACATTTTCTACAATTGCTCTCACCTTTAGCATTATGGGACGCCTCGCAACCTGCCAGCTCACCACTGCCTTCAGTGTTATTTCCCAACTGACCCTGACCATTAATGTTCACAATAATGTAATGTTGGATAAATAAATCCCCTACCTGTACCTATTTCAGGTTGAGATTGAGTCTACTTGGATATAAATCAGGTATACAGGCCATATAACAATAAACTGCAGCAGCAGAACATTTGGACATTTGTAATTTAGAGCTGAAACAATCAGTAGTCTTCATTTTTTTTGATAGTTGGTCAGACAAAATTAGCAATAAAAGGCATCATTTGGGCTCTGGTAAAGTGTAAATGTTTCCTTTTTTCCCCCCTCCCAGGTGTTCTTTTCAGCCTACATCTTCAATAGTAATGTGATGGTCAAAGTTGCCACCCAGCCTGCTGAAAATCCGATAGATGTTCTGTCCAGGAAGCTCCACTTGGGGCCAGGGATGGGCCGTGACGTCCCCCGTCTCTCCTTACCTGGCAAACTGGTCTTTCCCAGGTAAGACTGATGTAACCACAGGGAGGAGAGTAGTGTAGCGTGTGAGCTTCACACATTCATTCAGGATATTTCACTCATCTGCTGTTGATCTGCTTCCACTATGTATGTGCTCTTTCTTGCACCCTGTGCAACAAATAGTTGTGTAAGAAAGAAATGAAACAATAGTCAGAAAGAGAAGTTCAGACTTACTTTCTCACTTCCACCCCAGCTGAGGGACAAGTGGGTGTGAATGTCAGATTCGCCATTTTGGCAAGTTACAGAAAAACATTGTACGGGTGGGGGAGGAAGGGGTTTCCTAAGCTATTCCACTGTCCGAAAGGCTTTTTCTGACGGAGTATACTGGCGCCTTAATGCTGGGCTGAGTTGACCTTCTCTCTCCTGCTTTCTCTGGATTAGGGTGTCTCTATAGCTTGTATGTAAATAGTTTGTTTGATCTTCTGCCATTTGTAGAATTTAAAAAAACTTTTTGCTTCAAATATGCAATGTCCCTGTAGTTAGTTTGTGACTATTTGGCTAAATAATAATGATGTTCAAAGTGTGTGTATGTAAATTTCTATTGCTGTAAACCAGTCAGAAACAGCTTTGCATTTGCGATGCAGTTTTCTGTGATGCATTTATTGATCAAACAGTTAGACATAAACAAGAAGAGGTTTTCATTATTCTTTTAGTTCAATGGTTCACTCACTGATTGTAGTTTTTTATTCACATACAAGTGAGGGAACAACTAGCAGAATGTCCATGGTGGACCAGAGTGAGTCAGTGAAGTTATCAGTTACTGAAACAAAGTTATTAAATATATATATATATATAATTTAGGACAGTGGTTAAGAACACTTGAAAGCATAATTTGGGACAGGCAGCTGCGTGACACTGAGGAAAACAGTTAACATAGCTGTAAACATTTTGTTTGGATCTTGTCAGGACCTAAATGTGTAAACAAGTAATAAAATACAAATGGTACTCTTTTGTTGTACACAACGCGTACTAGCTTTGGACCATGTTTTTAGCGTTCCTGTATTCGGCCGTCCCAAATGTGTTTCTGCTTCTTTCCTGTCCATGCAGCTCCACAGGAAGTCACTTCTCAATGCTGGGAATAGGAGACATCGTGATGCCAGGGCTGCTGTTATGCTTCGTCCTGCGCTACGACAACTACAAGAAGCAAGCCAATGGGGAAGTCCCGGGGCCTGGTAACATGTCCGGACGCATGCAACGCGTCTCCTATTTCCACTGCACTCTCATCGGATACTTTGTGGGTAAGCAAGCAATCGATGGACGGATGGATGTAAAAGGTCAAGGGTTTTATTGTTGTTAGGAGGTGATGGATTTAGTAGTTCTGCGCCATTGTTTTGGTATTTTTCAATCTTTTTGAGCATCCTTTTTTTTTGCGACTGTGTCTTCAGGTCTGCTGACTGCCACTGTGGCCTCCAGGATCCATCGTGCTGCTCAGCCTGCTCTGCTCTACCTGGTGCCCTTCACCCTGCTGCCTCTGCTCACTATGGCCTACCTAAAGGTACACTGACAGCCCGCAACAGTCATTTAATTGAGATGAAAGTTCAGGTGCGGCGGTTGTTGCAGAATTCGGCAGTTTGATTGAATTCTATAAATCTACTTATAAAAAGAAATGAACTTTTGAAGGACATGAATGACATATGAACTCTAATCGTGGTTGTAAGTTCCAAACAAGGTTAACAGTTACACCTAGAAATATTCTAACTTCAGCAAAAACAATGGCTAGTATGTGTTTTATTACGTACCTGATCTCACAACCTTTTTTCTAATTTGTTTTTAGATGAGGCCGTAGACTCACTAGTCATCACTGACTTATTGTCTGATGAATAATCATTTTAAAAAGCTAAAAACAAAGTTTGGGGGCAGTGTTATGACAGAATATGTGCACAGGAGTATAAATAGTTTATTGTTTTTTATCATTATTATTATTATAGAGTTTATTATTTTTATCAGTTAAAGTGGAAGTAAAGTTTTCTAGGTGAAGATCAGAAAAACATTCGATCCAAGACCCATGACTCGTGTCCAACCTGGTGTCTGTGGTCCACAGGGGGATTTGCGGCGCATGTGGTCCGAGCCCTTCCACGCCAAGACCAGCAGCTCCCGCTTCCTGGAGGTATGATGCACCCTGGGATAAACGACCAGCGCGGGGAGGACTGCGGATCCTTTACCCTAATTAGAGGGAAGGAGAGAGGGCGCACTCACAGTGAGGCCATGTTGTCATCACTTGTTCATGCTTTCCGCCAATCTTCTGTGAAAAACCCTCAGAAGGACACCAGTGTGTGGATCACAACGCCCCAACACGACTCATCTTTGGTCCCTACATCCTCCTCCCGTTTCATCTCCGCTTCCTCTTTTCTGTTTATTTCCGTTTCATTATAGCACATCCTGCCTATGCTGTTTTTGTTCTGCCTCTCCGCCTCCTCTCTTTTTTTCCTTTTTCACCTCTCCTGTAGTCGGTCTCATTTGCCACTTCCCTCCCGTGGCCCGTTCCATTCGTCAGGCCTCTTCTCTCTTCTGCGTTTTTTCCTCTTTTCTCTTGCGTCTTTAATTTTTCTCTGCATCTCTGTTTGTCACCGACTCAGATGAACTCGAGGGCCAGGCCTCCCCCTTTTTGTGGACTTAGGGTTGTGAGACATGGCTGGGGTTTATATCTATTTTTTTAGCATTGTCGTGGTCATTATTATTATTATTATTATTAATATTATTATTATGGAACGATTTAAACAAACTGAGAAGAGGCAGAGTGTTGCAGTGGCACAGGACCGTGCTCGGGACCAGCGACACAGTAAAGAAGAAGAGTCTTCCCCCTCCATCTGTCCCCCCCCCCGCTGTCTTCATCTGTCCCATCATCCCACCACAACGGCTTCTTCCCGGCGCTCCTCTGACACTCCCTGCGAGCCCCACCCTCCTCCTCTCTGTTCATCTGCTGTCCCCATTCCCCACCCTCACAGATAACTATGTATTTTATTTAGAAAAGTTTTATTCTTGGCATATACAGAAAAGATGCATTATAAATTGTTAAGCTGCCCCTAGTATTTTAGGGGCCGCTTCTATTTGTATATATGTGTATTTGCGGTATCTTGAGTTTGTATTTGTGTTCGGGAGCATGTTGAATAGGGTGGGAAACTGACGCCAACCAACAGTCAGAATTTCGGTCAATTTCGGCTGCCAGTCGAGTTGACTGGCGAGCGTCCTTCATTTAGAGGTTGTTTTCTAAAGTTTGTTGGCTGGTGTAATGTAAACGTAGCTGAGAGGGGATAAAAAAAAACATCTGCACCAGTGGCTGATTGATGAAAAAGTTTCCTGCTCTAGTGTGTGTGTGTGTGTGTGTGTGTGTGTGTGTGTGTGTGTGTGTGTGTGTGTGTGTGTGTGTGTGTGTGTGTGTGTGTGTGTGTGTGTGTGTGTGTGTGTGTGTGTGTGTGTGTGTGTGTGTGTGTGTGTGTGTGTGTGTGTGTGTGTGTGTGTGTGTGTGTGTGTGTGTGTGTGTGTGTGTGTGTGTGTGTGTGTGTGTGTGTGTGTGAGAGCGAAACAGACGAGTGAACGGTTGTTTTACTTGGTTTTAATTTGAAATCATGAACATGTTAAAAAAACAGTGACAATAGTCAGGTTTCCATTGAGCTGGGTGTGTTGGATCAAACTGTCATAAATGCATGACATGTCTAATGGAAACAGTTTGTGTCTAACTTGTAAAAAGAATTTACAGAAAACCCAGTAGGGGGTAAATTTTCTTTTTATCAGCCTCTCTGCGGACAGGTGGAAATGTAAACAGTGTTTTCTTTTTCAAATAAATGAATGTTGAATTAATTTTAAGGTATGCTATGTTACTTTTCATCATGAGACCGCATCATACATCATGCTGGGTTTTGTATTGAGTTTCTCTGGCGCACATCCTAAATTTTACACGTATTTATGGCCATGGAAAAACACTAAGAGCATCTTGTTTCAGCTTTCACCAGTCTATAAACGTCTGAGCATGATGACATTGGATCAGTTTTTATACATTTTGACAAAGGAGAAGTCAGCAGAGCAGCACAACAGCACATCTCATCTGAACTTTGTAAATGTCAGTGTTTCACCTCAGTCGATGAAGACCTGACTATTGTGAAAGTTTGGACTCCTGGAGGTGGGGGTCGGTGGGATGTGGAGACCTACTCGTGGTTAGATTCATATGTAGTTACTGACAAAAGCTTTTTTCTGGGTGGATGATTAAGTGCGTATGTGTGTGTCTGATCAAATAAGATGATAAAGTCTGTTTGGAAGGAGGGGAGAAAAATCAGCTATGCCCTTCAGAAATCGAAAAATGGAAATTAGAAAATAAAGCTAACCCATAGGATGTTTTTGCTGTCACCATTTGGTCCCTGACAGTCTTACAGTCTTTTTTCTTTTCTTTCTTTTTGTCCTTCCACTTTTTTTGTGGTGCTTGTCAGTTAATATCTAATGTATACTGGGAAAAAAAGTGTGAGTGAGTCGGAGGAACGTACGGACGACGCAGTTTGCTGGCTTTTTGTTTTGTTTTTTTTTACTTTTTTAATGCTATCTGGCCGTGCATGTTAAGTGTACAGTGTATCATTTCTCAGACTGCATCAACAGGGCTACTGCAGTTTTGAGTCTCTGCTGGCCGACACCGAGGCACTGGACCTAATGAGCTCGCCTACACAGAGCAGTGTCAGTGAGTGGGACAAAGACTGCAGGTCAGAAAGACTGCGATTGGTCAGCTCTGACCTCCTCTGACTGATATTATGACCTGAATGCTGTCAGGTTGGGACATCCGACCTGCCGCTCAATGCGGTCGTTTAAAGTCGGACATCATGGAACCACAAACCCCCTTTCACCTCTTCATGGACATGGCAAGAAAATATATAGATTTATATACATATATATACATATATGTGTGTATATATACATACATAAATAATTGATGACGATCATGGTGATAACAGTTTTTTTTTTTTTATATATATATAGAAAATGGATTTCTTTTTGCCCCATTTAGTGCTTTAGTTTTTTTTTATTTTTCTTTCCACCTCTTCTCCCCTCCAGCAGAGGTCTCCAGCTCTGTTGGTGCATTGATATTACGACTGAATGGATTCTGTATAGAAAAATGGTGAATAAATAAATTAAGAACTGTGTAGTGAAACATGAATCCTGAAGCGCTTGATCTAAAACACTTTGTCTCCTTTTAACCCCTCCCTCTGTCCCTCTGCCCTCTCCCCTTCTTTCCCTCCTCGTTCAGGATTCTGCTGTAAATAAACATGACTCTAACTGTAACACCAGTGTGTCTTCTTTGGGTCACCTGTTTATTAAAGACTTATTTGTGTTCACAAGATTCTTTTGAATTGCTGTTACTGTTAGTTTCTCCAAAAAAGGACCGTTTAATGCTTCTGTTTTACTTAAAAAACTGAAAACGACAAGTAATAAATGCTTTATTGTTATGAACTAAACCTCTTGGGGCAGCAAGAAGACTTCATATTTGATATCATACGTTAAGTATTTTATATTCCACATTTATTAGACTAATTGTAACTGGTTACTTTATACATATATATATGATAAGCATTGTTTCAGTTCAAAGAAGTAGAAATAAAAATAATATTTCAAAAAAAAAAAAAAAAAAAAAAAAAAAAAAAAAAAAAAACATTATAACAATAAATATACATGACATCCTTTATCTTATTGGGGCCCGACCCCCAGGTTGGGAACCACTAAACTATTAAACAGCATATAAAGACTTATGAATGTTGTATTCAATTTGAGCCAATAGATCTTCCTAAATGTTAAACACTGGACCATGAGTCATTTGCCCGATGAAGGTCTAGGACCAAAACGTTGCTAATAAATGTTTGTATTGAAGGATAGACATTGTGCAGGAATTTAACTTCTCTACATTTCGATAGTCATCCCACTCCTACTCACTTGCCCTGTGAAGTAGATTTTTTTTTTGTCTATTTTAAATACTGGACCTTGAAATTGTATTTTAGAGGTGTTTTTATATTGTTGATTGGTACTTTTACTCAAATAAAGGATCTGAATTCTTCTTTCACAACTCATGAAAACAGACAACATAAAACAGTGAAAAATGAAACTACTACTTAAATTTTAATATTTTCAGTTTATTTCACTTCATCACTGAAAATAATAATCAACAAAATGAATAAAACATGAACTTCCTTCACTTTCTTGTCACAGTAGTGCTGCCTGTTCCTCAATCCATTTTGCCCAATCAAAGTAATTATGTTATACACAGAGAAAAAGTATGACACAGTTATACTATTTCAAATTAAACATAAATTGCTTTATGGATTTGTGAAATTACACTTCAGGTTAATCCAGCAAATCTTGCTATGATGTTGAGAAACTTGCCTGGTGAAAATATTATTTCCAACACCACCTGTAAAGCCTAAGTTAGCGAGAGAAAGCGAGAGAGAGAGACAAAAATCTCATCTTGAGATATCAAACATGTAAAAACAAGATAAAACTTAAATGAAGCTTTATAAAAGTATAAAGAGTAAAACTACAGGCACAAATTAAAGCCAGACTGTGTGCTTGAAGTACTTAAACCAATAAACAACTTCCTATGTGAGGATGTTTTGTCAGACACACAGTATAACAATGTTAAATCCACAGAACAACAAACTCCAATAATAGACCACAATAGACCTTTATCACAGCGGCCATTTTTACTTGAAATAGTAGGGTCATTACGGTTCTGTTCCACTGTGGTCAGACAGAGTCGAGGTGCTGCTGTTAGCTCACTGTAAATACTCTGCTACACTTAATGGGACAGGACCTTAATTAGTATCATTGGTAACACCAGAGTTTACCCTACTATGTGTTAAACTATACTTTACGTCAAAATGGCTGTCATGAAAAAGGTCGTATTGTGAAATAACGTCTTCACTGCACAAAATGAAAAAGAATGTCGTTTTAAATTTGGGTTGCCTTGAATTGTATTTGTCATTTGATTCTAAATACATTTTAATCCGTGCAAGAATATAGGTGAGAGAGAGAGTTTTGAATCTACTTTTACAATGAAGAGTGAAACTTATCATTTTTAATGTCTCGTGCACTTTTTGGGGGGAGAAGCCAAACAACATCAGCATCTTTCCTGCCTAAAGTCCAGTGGTTCTCAAACTGTAGGGCAGGTTCCACTGGTGGGGCAAAGAGCCACTGCGGGTGGGGTATAACGGGAAAAACACAGAGTGGAACCAGTTTATGTAGGGAAAATTAACAAACAAGTGTTTACTGATGCTATTTGGCCTTTATTTCATAAAAAATCAGCTTGGACCTTTTTATCGTTAGTTCCCCTGTCTGAAGGGGGACAAAAAAAAAGGTTTGCGAACCACTGCCTTAGCTGAAGGTGTCGGTATCCACTGGCAACTGTGTGCAAATTCAACTTTCTCCAGCAGATGGCGACACAGTACAAATATCTGAAAACACTGTCAGAGAAGTCAGAATTATGAAAGGCCTGATGTAGTCTCTGTACTCAAACACACCAATATGCTTTTAACCATGTGTAGGGAGATCTCAACCTATATCTCTACCTCAATTTTTCCAAATGACCATCTTTGAGTAGCGCTGCAGTGCCTTCACAGCTAAATGTGACCAGCGTGCAGACAGACCACAAGAGTGTTTTCCCCGGGCGCCTTCCATGAGACCTGAATGAGAACAATAAAAGAAAGAAATCGTTCTTTGATCGGGCAGTTAACTGAAATTAAAGGCATGCTCTCATCAAAGTCATGTGATTGGTTCCTGCAGGGCACCGGGGGAGAGAGATTTCGTGAGCCTTCATGGGAAAATGGCTGCCTCAATGACAGACCAAAGACGCTGAGTCAAGAGTTTATAGAGAGGCTGCTGCGGAAATGCTGAGTTCTTCTCTCTGAGCTTGTACTGTACTTGTTTCTGTAGTGGATAAGAAGCCTTTTGTCTGTCTGATTCACTTTAGCTGCTCAGTGATAACAGGTAGGTGGACAGTCAGTGGAATAAAAAGACAAATGTAGGATAAATGCTTGTATATGAAGAGCAGCATAAGGAATTACACTCACTGAGCATTAGCCTGTTTAATGAAAAGATGTCATGAATACTGATCTTATTTTTAATAACTGCTGAGGTACAATCTACTGTTTCATTCAGAAATGAACTTTTGACTCTAAATTTAAGACTTTGTGTGCTCTTTACTGCTGATAGCTGCTCCAAAACTCATTCAAACTGCCAGACAGATGGACAGCCTGCATGACCTACTGACTGACTGGCTCCTTTACTAGATGGATGGGTGAAGTGGACGGTGGGGGGATGAGGAGCAGGACACTGGGTGGGTGGGTGGCGAAGGTCGCTGAGGTCAAGGCAGGCAGGGTCCACCCCTCTTCACCTATTGGCCAGAACCGGCCAACGAGTCCTGCGCAGCTTTGAAGCCCTGAAGTGGACAGAATTCCACCACGGCCATGGGGATTGTAGCATGTCATTTGTAGGAAATTTTGGCGAGATGGTCCTAAAAAATGGAGAGGTTGGCCCACGCTTGGAATGCAGAGTTTTGTATTTAGAGGCGCTCGTAGGGTCTTCTCCTATTGATCCTGAAATTACAGACGGGCAGGTGAGAGGGCAGCCTCAATCATCCAGAAAATGCTGCAGAAATGAGCATTGGTTTTAATTTAGAGGGACCGGAACTCCCTCTTCTTTTTCTTTTGATTTGCAAGTCAAAGGCATGAGTTCAGGTCATATTTTCCTAATATTAAGTCATTGAAACTGCAGATGAAATAAACCATAGGAGCATTAATCCTTTGTGCAGCTGCTTTTTTCCTTTAACCTTTTAAACTTTAAACTCATGCTGTGCAGCAAAACATTGTTCAAACACAAAACAACTGTATATTCTATATATTCTGTAAATTCTAGTGGAGAGCCCACAGTTGCTAAATGTACCACAAATGTCTGTAGAATGGCTGAAATAAGGCTGAAATGTCTCTAAAATTATGCAAATATTTCAATTTGATGAAACGTGGCAGTCATACAAAACACTCTCAACAAAGAGTTGTGAAAAAGAGGATTTTTCCAACCTTAAAGCTACTTAAAAGGGGAGAAAGTGTACGTTTATGGAGTTGACTGCACTTCCAGGATCATGTACCTGCACAACACGTTAAACATGTACAGTGATTTTACCTCTTTTTCATAGCTGCAGATGTCTACTCCGAGTCTGACTGGTGAATATATAACCAGGAAAAGTTCATAATAAATTTTAGAGTCAGTAGCACATGAAGTCAGCCAGTGCAGGTAATTTAAAAAAGTGCTGGTATTTATTGGCGGTGGCCCCTGCTCATGTTAATGGCAGAGAGGTTCCTTCCCCTTCTTCTTCTTCTCTTCTCTTCCAACCAGGCATTCCAGGCTTGTTTAAATAAGGCCTGCCTGCCTGCCTGCCTGGGCGCGGGTGGATTCCCCTCTGGCCCTTTGCCCTTTGACCTAAAGTGCATTCCGTATGTAAAGTGAGGAATTCCTCTGAAGTTCAGTTAATGGGGGTGAGTTTTTTCATCCTTTGGACTCTTTGGACAGTGGAAGTGGAAAAACAAGCTCCATGTACACTTATCGGGCGGCTGTGAGTTATGGATGAGGGTTGTTGTTTATCGGTGGCGGTTCAGAATCGATGTCTCCCACCAGCAGCTTTGAAGCTTCAATAAATTTCTGAAATAACCCTCTGGGATCATGACTAATTGATTTAATGGAGGATATTGTGGAGTGGAAGTGAGGGAGTGGAGTTTGTTTGGTTCTTCCATTGGCTGCTGCCCCTACAGCTCTGTTGGTGGAGGAATATGGTGGCTATAATATTAATAATAACAATAATAAAAGGATCAAAGGGTTTTTTAGGAGAGTTTTCCTTATTCAAAATGAAGATCTACAGATAGAAGCTGTCGCATACTGTACAGATTATAAAGCACCTTGGGGCAAATGTGTGATTTGTGACATTGGGCTTATATAAATAAAATGTACTTGACCTGACATGTGAATAGGACCCGTTGTCTAGTTATTCTGTGCAGGCGTTGTCCTCTTTGGCAGAAGTAATTTCTATTTCGTCATTATCTATCTGGTCTTTTTTTCTATGTAGTTTGAGGGTTAAAGGGTTACATTTTCAACAATTTTCCTAACCTGTTTTTAATTCTAACCTTTGTGTTTTGTTGACTTTGGCTTCACTTCTTCATTGTTTGGGGTCATACACAAGCTCCCACTGCTGTTGTATATGTGTAATAATAATAATGATGATAATAACTGTAACTATAACTACCTTT